GCCGAATGCGGTTTGCTTCGGGCACGCCAACGGTGGCGTGGTAGTCCAGGGTAATGGGCGAGGATCCCATGGACCCTGCGGCCGCAAACGCCGCCAGACCCACCAAAATGATCGTGGCCCACATCCTGTCTATATGTCACAGCCTTTATGTAAGTGCCTTTACGACGCTCTTGGAAGATTTATATACGATCGCCACGCTATCTTATCGATCCTAATGCCTAAATTTATCTTTTTTTTATAACGGAACTGCTGCGGTAACGAAAACAACATCCAGGAACATAGCTTCATTTTTATAACATTTATGTGTATCTATTTGTATAAATTTGTATGTTAAATTTTATAAAATAAAATTTTATTTTTTTTGTATCATTTGCATTGTTTTTCGTAGTGCATTGCGTATAGGGCATACCGCATAACGAGATCTCGAAAAAAAAGCATAGCGCGTTATGCACATAGCGAATAGCGCATAGCGCATTGCCCATATTGCGATAGATAGGAAGGTTGGTAGGTGCTTTATAGCACCGCAGACGTGAGAGCTGCATGCCTGGTGTGTTCGGCTCAGGGTTATTTTTTTCCAGAGGGGAATGCTTTTCGCATACTCCGTGCCTCGGGGCAGATACGAGAGTTATGTGGGACTCTCCCCATAGGAGGGCATACCCACTAAACCCCTCTTTCCTCTTAGCCATTGTGTGGGACGCCACGGGATCGCTTTCGCTTGCCACCGCGACTCCCCGCCTTGGGAATGGGCCCTCGATACTTCCTGATGAGTTTTGACACTGTGCCCTAAGGCGCTCCTCGGAGACGGTACCGTGCAGTGCAGAGTTTTTGATAAGCGATATGCGTTATGCGCTATACGCTAAGAGCAATGCGTTATGCGCTATGCGTTATGCACTATGCGATATGCGCTATTTGCATAACGCGATATGCGATTTTCGAGTTTCGACTTTCGAGTTTTCGATAAGCGATATGCGTTATGCGCTATTCGCTATGCTCTATGTGCTATTTGCGTAACGCGATATGCGATTTTCGAGTTTCGACTTTCGACATTTCGATAAGCGATATGCATTATGCGCTATGCGCTATGCCCTATTTGCATAACGCGATATGCGATTTTCGAGTTTCGAGTTTTCGATAAGCGATATGCGTTATGCGCTATGCGCTGTGCGCTATGCGCTATGCGCTATGCACTATGCGCTATGTGCTATTTGCATAACGCGATATGCGATTTTCGAGTTTCTACTTTCGAATTTTCGATAAGTGATATGGGTTATGCGATATGCGCTATGCACTATTTGCATAACGCCATATGCGATTTTCGAGTTTCGACTTTCGAGTTTTCGATAAGCGATATGCGTTATGCGCTATGCGCTATGCACTATGCGCTATGTGCTATTTGCATAACGCGATATGCGATTTTCGAGTTTCGACTTTCGAGTTTTCGATAAGCGATATTCGTTATGCGCTATTCGCTATGCGCTATGCAATTTGCGCTATGCGCTATGCAATATGCGCTATGCGCTATTTGCATAACGCGATATGCAATTTTCGAGTTTCGAGTTTTCGATAAGCGATATGCGTTATGCGCTATGCGCTGTGCGCTATGCGCTATGCGCTAT